AACTTGTCTTCTGAAGATGCTCTCTGTTGAAGTTTCTCAGTGGATCTGTGCTCAAAAATGCAGCCTAGGTGGAGTAGTCGAACACAGATCCACTGATCCTTCAACAGAGAGCATCTTCAGAAGACAAGTTGATAAAGTAAATTTAAAATATCTGTATTGTTTGATAAAAGTGTGAATTGAACCTAAAGCTCTGTATTGAACAGTTTGATACGGGTACATGTTTTGTTGCACCCCTAGTATCACGTTATAGTGGATCTCGGTGTGGGACCTCACCTGTCTCTGCAGTCCTGCAGCAACTTCTGCACGTCCACTTCCTCTTTTTTTAAACTTCCAAAAGACGACTGAAGTTTGCTGGTGTCTTTGCCCTCCACGTTCACGCTGCTCTTCGCAAAACTGGCATCCACGGTTCCCTGAAGGCTGTCGCCGAACGTGCCGCTGTATTTCAGAAAGTCTTTTTCCACCACAGCTATAAAAAGAGAGAGCGTGGGATGAGATTTTAAGTTGGTTTAGACCACGGGTCTGCAACCTGCGGCTCTGGGGCCACATGTGGCTCTTTGGTCCCTCTGCAGTGGCTCTTTGAAAGTGTGGCCAAACATAACAGAATATTTTTTGTTTGTTTTTTACACCCATGACAGAAATCAATTTGTATGCAAATATGTGTTCAATAGTATGCAAAAAGTAAAACATGCTGCTATGTACTTAAATAATACAACTTCTTTCTATGATCTTTCGCTCAAATCCATCAGAATTGATGATGAATTGATTTTTTTTTTTGTAAACTAAAGATTATTTTTGATTGAATTTATTTATTTGAGAAAAAGGAACAGATATAAGTGTTTTTTCTCCTTCTGCTAGAATTTGTATTTTTGTTGTTTGTTGAATTTATGGTGTTTTTATAGAAATGAATAAACTAACTAAAAAAATAAAAATAAGAATTAACTTTAAAGAATTTAAAGACTACATAATAATAAAAATTAGAAAAAAAATATACCTGAATAGTTCAGTTGTACTAGTTTTTATGAAATTCGTGACAAACTATATACAGTATTTTTCTTGTTTACTTAAATAGTCTTTTCTTTAGTCCTGATGTGTAAAAATAATGATAAATAATAACATTCACAGTATATTTCTCTGTTTTATAATGTCACCTCCACTGGCCGTGAAGGTAACAGAAAAGGCCTCGAAAAGGCCCACGGACCGGCAGTTGATAATCACAGCTGTAGCTTGTTTTGCGTCTCTGGGCTCATTTTATTAGTGAGCCAAGCAGAAGAAATGGCTCTTTTGATCATAAAGGTTTGCAGACCCCTGGTTTAGACTAAGTCACATATTTACAGGGTTTATTTGTGTACCTGGCATTAAAGGTGTGTCGCCTGTCAGCAGGTCACTGAGGATGAAATCAGCTGGGAGATATCTGGGCTTCTGCCAGAACCAGAACCGTTTCCGTTTCACCACCACGGTCAGGAGACTGATGTCATCGTTCAGGCTGGAGACTGGGATCAGTAAGCCTCCGTTGTCCACCTCCTCCACAAAGGTTTTAGTAGCCAAGGCAAACATTTCCACTAAAAATAATCTGTGCGAGAAATTTAAATCAGGTTATAGCAAGAAACATGAACTGTGTTACTAATCAGAAGCTCCACATTCTCTCCTCCCTTAGCAAAAAATACTCAAGTATCCTTTAAGTGTACTAATTTTAAATTAAAAAATAAAAGAGTGTACTTCAAGTTGATCTTTTATGTACTTATCTGAGATATACTTAACCAAGTTTATATGCTTGGCTTGTACTAAAAGTTCAAGTATACTTCTATATTAATGTTTAAACTTTTGGCCAAGATAAACTTACGTAGTACACAGAAAGTACATTTTCACATAGACTGGTTAATTTGTAGTATCATTCAAAATTAAACTAAAAGTATATTTAGATAATTACTTTCCGTATACTTTTGAGTATACTTTATTAAACTTATTGTGGGCCAACCTAGTCCTAAAAGTATATTTGTTAGTAAACTGCTAATTTACTTAGCTATATCAGTGTACATGGTAAATAAAAGTCCACTTAGGGAAATACACTTTGATACTTCAGTACACAATTCCATGTAAGTGTTAGTGTACTTCTTTATGGTAAGTTTATAAACTTAAAAAGACAGTATACTTAAAAAATGTCCCAATTTAATACAAACGAGTAATAAATCAGTATACTTTCTAGACTAGTACAATAAACACTGCGGTCTACAAGTACATGGTGCCTAGTAGCTCCACATTCTCTCCTCAGTTTAAAACAATCGAGAAATATAGATTTTTAATTACAGCTACTTACTGTATTAAAATGCATTTTAACACAACCGGTGTCGCAAACGTACAGTAACAGATTAAGCTAGCAGAAACAAAAGCACGAGGAGGAAGTTGGTCTAAATGACAACAAATATAAATTGTAACTTGTTTTTTACCGCTTTCCTGAGGTCTTCGTGTTGAATCAGTATATTGTTGTACTTCTGTTTATTGCCAGTAGACACGCGTAAATACTTCCTCTTTTGTTGACTCAGCAGAAGTTGTTTTTATTTTTTTATTTTACTGTCTTGGACAAGAAGAAGAAGAGACTAGAAGAAGCCCCGCCCCCATTACAGGAAGTACATAAAATATAATATAAAAAATACATATTTTTAGTATATTATTATTTTATATTATTATAATTATATTATTATATTTATATTATATTTGATAATGTACGGGCTAAACATTATAGATTTACACTTTAAAAAAACCTTATAAATAATTAATAAACGAATATGTTTCCTTCAAAATAAGAGACCCGTGCTCTTTACCCTTAGCATGAAGTTCATTTTAAAAAGCAGTCTTGAGTATAAGTCTAAGTAACTATATCAAGTATACTAATTGTGGCTTACTAGAAAGTATACTGATTTAATACTGGTTTGTATTAAGTTGGGACATTTTGTTTATAAAAGTACTGTCTTTTTAAGTTTATAAACTTACCAAAAAGAAGTATACTTTAAGTGTATGGCATTACGTACACTGAAGTATATAAAAGTGTGTTTCCCTTAGTGGACTTTTATTTACCATGTACACAGATATAGCTAAGTATATTCGTTTGGACCCCCTGACCATGGCTCCTGATTGCTGTGGTCGGCGCGCTGTCCGAGGGTGGGTGTCGGGGTTCGGCGGGCGGTCGGCCAGGCGCCTGGTTGTCGGTGGGGTCCGGGGGTGGGTGTCGGGGTTCGGCGGGCGGTCGGCCGGGCGCCTGGTTGTCGGTGGGGTCCGGGGGTGGTCGGGTGTTGGCCTGCCGGCCGGGCGGCCCCTGGGTCGGATCTTGGCTGTCGGCTCCTCTCCACCCCAGATAAAATGGGTCTACCTCCCAGGTTTGTATATGGACTGCCCCCTGCGGGGGCTGGGTACGTCTTGAACCCGGGTATGTATCGGGAGCGTGATTGGATTGTGTTGTTATTGTATGTCTTTGAGTGAATGAGTGTGAGGATGAGGGTGGGATGGTATGAATGTGTTTGTGTATGAYTGGGTACTTGTCAGACTGGGTTGTTGTGCTTTGCGCCCCYGCTGCACTGCTCTCTGGTGGGATGAGCCCCTCCCTGCCGGCGTGCTTGGGGCCCTCTCTGTCTGGGGCCGGGCGCCTGGGCGTTTGTTGGCTTGGCCCGGTGACTACCTGGGGGGCTCGGGTCCTCTGGTCCCGTTGGGCCGTGGCCCAGGGGGTGTGGGATCCTCGGGGCCCGGTCCTTTGTGCCCTTGCCTGGATCTTCCTTGGTGCGGCGGGCTCCAGCGGGGGCCTATGGGTTTGTCGCTGCTGCCCCCGGGGGTTTCTGCATGTGGCTGCCCATGGAGCTCTTCTGGTTCCCGCCTGTGGTCCAATCTGGGGGGTGGGTGGGTGGTTCGTCCTGCGTGGGTGGCTCTGGGGGCTCTGTGCTCAGGGTCGCTCTTGGGGTCTCGAGCTCTGGCTCCCCTCTTTGTCTGCCTCGGGTCTTGGGGACTGGATCTTGGGCTCTTCACAGTCACTGTTAAATATTCTATTGGAGGAACCTTGGATAGGTACGTATGCATGCTCACAACACATAAGGGGGGTGTGGGGATGCATGAATTTACATATAATACACACAGGCATGTATGTAGATGTGGGTGAAAATATTAGTATGTCATTATGTATATCTGTGCGGTTATTGGTGGGTGTGGAGGTGTGGATGTTGGGGGGGGGGTCTTGTGGTCTTATTGAGTATATTTCATTCATTTGTAGTTTCAGCTCTTTTCACTTTTCTTATTTTCTTTCTTATCTTCTCACTTTAAAAAAAGTCACTGATGATGAAGAAATAAATAAACTAAATAAACTAATAATATTTGGTTTCGTTTTCTACTGAAGTGACAAAAAACCCCGTAATTTATTTTATTTTTTTGGGGTGGGGCGGGGGTGTCAGCCTCGCTGGGGACATGAAAGTGCCCGCTGCGAAGCAGGAGGAAAGGAGAGCGTAAAAAGTTCAAAACTTATTTCTGCCGGCAGAACAGGTTTGAAGATGGCTGTTTAATGGTATTTATTGTTTTTTAAATCATCCTATAGGCTCTGACATGTCAGATAAATTAGAAAATAAGGTTTTGAAAAAAATCCGTAAGACTTGAAAAAATCCATGAGATTGCCCTATACGTCCGTATACCTGCAAAATGACGTAAAATCCTTTTAACTTTCGGACAATCCGTACAAGTTGACATGTATGTTGTTATTTATTTGTTTTCTGGGAAATCAAATAAATCTAAGTTTACCATAGTACCTTACACTG